CCACTGAAGTCAGATTTGTCAGGGAAATCTGATTCAATGGGCTACAAATTTGGTTTTGTAGGGGCAACAGAACAGACAGGAAGTCCTCCGCTCTTGTGTCGTAAAATAGAGGTTCAGGTCTCTCAAACCAGCTGTACAGACTTACAGTTGTAGTAGTTTATTACATACTTGGAATATTGCATCTGTGTGAAGCCCCCCCCCCATGTAATGTGGGGTTCACAATGTGAAATATAACAGGTTACATAATCTGAAGTACCCTTTGAATTCCAGTCAACTTTCCTTTCCTAGCTCAGTAGAGATTTCTGACCCACAACTCTCTGAGCTAGCTTGTATGCAATATAAAAAACTTTGGTTCTATAATTCCTCTCCAAGAATCTGTTCTTGCTAACACAGACAGTGACAAGCTCCTGGCTTTTACAATCTGCTATTTCCCCCTGCAGGACTGCCACCATTCCCAAAGGAGTTCTTACAGAACTGAAGAATTTTGCTATGCTAGACTAAGGCCCCATTTGGCAGCAGCATACATTTGAGTGTAATATTGCCTTATTAATTCAATAAAAATAATGTTGAGTTTTCAGACAGTCTGTGCCCTTGTCCTCAACTCCATCCACAGCAAGATGGTCCCAATACTGTCACACTGTAGAAGTGCTTAGGGTTTGCCCCTAATGCCTGTTAAAAGAGCATCCTGAACCGCTCTTTCATCCTCAGACTTGACAAGAATCTTGATTCTCTTTCTTTCTCAGACTTGACAATAATCTTGGCTCAACTATCTGTCAACTAGTAGTTCTGGCCGTGTTGGTGTACAATGCCTAGACCCACATCGTTACCCTATATTCAATATGAATGATTTTGAATTCAAAAGTCAGATCCGCTTCCATCCCCCAAGACAATAACAGCCAATCAAAAACGTTCTTCATCCCCATTCACTGTTCATTTCTTAGTCCCTCAATCACCTATCAATACACACCCGAACTGCAAAAATCTTGTGCCGCCTAACTACTTGCTTAAGACCAACGGAACTCAGGAGGAGCTCAGTCATAACACAAGTGGAGGTATACTCGACTCATTTCTTCCTTTCTATATCTCTCATCTCGTGTGTTTCAGACTATTGATCTTCTTTCATTTCATCAGGCTTGTTGTTGTTTCAATTTCTCCTAATGACTGTTTTGTGTGTCTAAGTGTTGAGTTGTAGTCAGGACAAGAATATCTGAAGGTACATGAAGAATTCATTTCTATCTTCTCATTGACCTTATTTTTCCTTTTTACTGTTTTCTCATCTTTCTAATCTTTTATTCTTTATTGTTCTAAGTTCTTTACTACTATTAGCTTTTGGATATTAGTTGCAATAAAGTACTTGATCTCAAATTCCTACACTATCTACTTTGATCAAGACTCAAGATCAAGATTGCTATCTCTCAAGACCTCAACTGTCATATAACCCTCACTCACTGATCTCACTGCATCAAACTAACTTTGTCATTTACTTCTCCTCATCAAAGATCAATTCTTAAAATCCTCAAGAGTTCTATTCTGGCACCCTTCTTAACTCAAGCTCCACATCCGCTCAACACGTTGTTTGTTTCATTTCTTCCTTTTTTCCTTTCTTCTTTCATACTCACTTGTCACTGTTTCCCATTTTCTTGTTTGATGTGGAATTCACTGACCCTGTTATTTGCTGAAATTGTTTATTGTTCTCTTTCCTCTTTCTCAGCTTACCATTCTTCCTGCTTCCTTACTAAACTACCAAAGTACTCTGATTATATCTCATTATCTCCATCTCATTGGTTTTATGCTTCTCTTTCTATTAGGGGGTTGGAAAAACAACCCCCAAAAAATCGCTGACGACTCCCATTTTGGTCAAGGGGTTGTTGGGCGGGAGTTGTTCCTCCAAAGTGATGGCTGACTTTGGGAGTCAGCCATCAAATTATTTTTTTATTTTTTTCTTTTTATTTTTAGGGAGTTGGCGCCCCAAACGGCCCCTCATCCTTCCGGTTGACAAGAAACAAAAATCTCATTGACCGGAAGGGATTCCTTCCAATCAATGAGGTATAACAATCTCATTGACTGGAAGGGATTCCTTCCGATTGATGAGGTATAACAATCTCATTGATCGGAAGGGATTCCTTCCGGTCAATGAGATGTAACAACCTCATTGACTCATTG